TAATTTCTATACTTGTACTAGGGGTGAAACTCTCCTACTATATAAAAGAGAGACTTTTATCTCAACTGGACACATTGTAACACGCATACCAAGGCAGTACAAATTGATTTCTCTTCTTTCTAGCTAATAAAATTAAAGGTTCTTAATTTATTGTTGTTCTTCATATACGTTTGGCTTCGAACCAAAGGTCTGATCGAGACCAAAGTTACTGTTAAGACCAAATTCGAGCTTGGCCGTAACATCACAATTAGTTTGGTTATTCATTCTATATTTAATTCGTTTATCTGACATTCTTGATTATTTGTGTTGAATCGATCCACATATCCTTAAAATCGCGTATAAATTCAATTGTTATCCATTTTAAGGGTACACAAGTATACCTTTTTTTTTTGGTTGAAAATCGAGAGTATTACTAGTCCGCCGTCACAATAAGTGATACACTTACCTTTTTAGTTGTTCCAAAAAATGATATATCATAATTTCATTTATCCTTAATGTTATGCTTTATAGTCACATAACTCACTTTAAACTACAAGTTACAAAATATTTTTTTATTATTAAATTTAGTGTCCAATAAAAGTGATCACATAAAATAAAATGAGACGAAAGGAGTATTATAAAGTACAACGACATTAGTAATTTTTCAATGAAAATATCTTCTTGGGAGATGTTTGATTGGTTAGTGCATGGGGAAATATGTCTCGAGAAAAATATATCCTTGTTATTTTATATAAACCTATTTCCTTTTTAGTAAATTTTAAAAATAAGTGAACATTTTTCTAATAAGGAAACTTTTAATTTGGATTTCAATACTACTCTTAAAATAAAACATGTCATTTTACACTACAAGTTTTAAAAGATTTATAATCATACAAATGTTGTGATATATTTACAACCATAAATTTCAAATTTTTTTTTCTTTAACTCACTGTCCAGTCAAATAGGTTCACATAAATTAAAATAGAGGAAGTATTAAAAATTAATGATAATATTAGCAAACGGGAGAGTATTATGATGAAAATTTTGAATACTAAATATAAGTAATAATAATGTCTAAATATTAATTAGAATAAGTAATACGGAGTTAAACTAAAATAAGAGAATAACCATCGGTCATAAGTGAGGGAGAAGACATTTTTCCTCTTAATAAAAATCAACTTTCTTTCTAAACGAACACCTGAAAACCGACGGAATTAGAGCTCTAGCTATAGATTCGACAATNATATATATATATATATATCCCATAAACTTAAAATTCTTAATCTCAAAACTATTTTCTCGTAAATATAATTTTCTTGGAAAATGACTTCTATTCTACCCAGGGGCGAAGCCACCTTTTGCTAAGGGTGGTCAATTGACAACGAAAAATTACACTGTGTATATAAGTAAAATATTAGTTTTAGATGTATATAACATATATTGAACACCCATTGTTGGAATTTTTTTTTACTTCTTTCAAGTCTGAACACTTGAACAAATTTCTGGCTTCGTTACTGATTATACCAAATACATTTTAATTTATGGGATTTAAAATTTACCTGAGCTCATGCTCCCCATGTTAACAGGAAGGCCTTGGTCTCCTACTAAAAGAGCATTACCTCCAAAATGAAATCCCTACAAATATTTGAATTTTTTCTTAAGGTCATTTTCCCCCCAAAATAATTGTGAATATAGAAGCAACAACAAATGATTCTATGAGCTTTATAATAAGCTGAGTTGGTTAGAGAAATTAAATGTTGTTACTTGAGATCTGGCCCTTTGTAATTCTTGTTCTAAGTGGGCAAGCCTAATCCTACTTGACTCTAGCTGCTGAATATAAGCCTGCAATGGAAAATAAGTAGATAAAACAAATTTCCATAAATTAAATATATAATTGCTCAAGCACGATGCTCCTGTTTTAAGTGTTACACCAATAGTAATTAAATGAAAATAATTAAGTGCATGTAGTACCTTTTTCCTAAGTCTGTTTTTTTCTAGCTGCTTCTCTATTCTGAGCAAGTCTTCTTAATATCTGCAAAGAAAAGCAATTAACTAAAAATTAAAATCCCAAAAAAAGGATACATTTCCTCAAAAGATCAGAAACCACAAGTCTCACCTTATGATCTGGTGTTTTACATGCATCTTTCTCTGAACTTGAATTTAGACCCTTCCTGTTCCATTCTCGCTAACACCAACCAATGAAAACTTTTTAGGGGAAACTAAATACAAAAAGCGGCAAAGGAAAAATTATTCTCTTTGTTCTAATTTATTTGACATTATTATTATTATTATTTGAAAAGTTAAAAAAATTCTTATTTGACCACTATTTTCTTAAATTATATTCTTTTAAATTATTAACTATTGTGAATTATAATCTTTTCATATAATTTTTGAGTATGTAAATTTTATTTCAAAAAATGGAATGAAGGGACTAATATTTTGCTAAAGAATATATAAAACATGAGAAAGTTAAAGTATACCTTAGCAATTTTTTGTTCAGGTACAGAAGTAGAAACAATTTCATTTTTAGGGTTGGATAACTCCATGGACGGCTGAGATGATTTCTCGGAACCACTAGAAACCAATCCAGTATTTGCCTACCAAAAGCAGAAAATAACAAGCCATTAGAAATTATAGAAACATAAACAGCAAGAAACATTATATATATATATATATATTGCCTTTCTATACACATAAAATATTAAACTTGTTATCCATGTTTGAGTTTGTGTACCTTAGTTGATGTTGGTTCAACATGCATGGGTTGTGATGGAAAAATGTTCGGAGTCGGTGGTCTCATCTCACAATTATTTTCTGCAATTATATAAACAGAAAAAATAGTAGCTTCACCGGGAAAAAAGGTGGATTCAATACTAAAAACTTTAAACGCTGAATCAATCAAATTTAAATTCAGAACACATTGGTGAGAAGAAGAAAAAAATGGGTGGAAGGAATGCTCACGTCTTTGGTCATGGTTTGCTGAAGGATCTTGACCATCAAGGTAAAGGAAAAAGGCTTGATCCAGTTCACCTAAATCATAATTAGCTCCACCAGTATTGTCTTTGCTTCTGCTCGTGGATCAACGATAGAAAAAAAAAATTATTAACTCAAGAGAAATGGAGAAATGCGCTGTGAAGAAATTAAATCATGAGTTGAATTTTTGTATCCCTAACTTTAATTAAACAAAAGAAAAATATTAGCACATAAAGTTTCCTGGAACGGAAGATGATGCTGAAGTTGACTGCTGCTGTAACATTCCAAAAGCAATCTGATTATTTTGCAACTGCTGCTCCTGAGAAATATTATGGAAAAATAAATGTTGCCGATGATCACTTCCAAAAGAAATCCCATTATCACTTTCAAGCCCCATTTTTTTTATACTACAAGAACTGATTTCTTTCTCCACAGTACAGATATATATATATATAGAGAGAGAGAGTTTCGACCTCCTTTGTGAGGAGGCACCCCTTCTCCTAAAGTTACGAATAAGATTATTTTGTCGAGTTCCTGAGGGAGAGTTGTCGATTTTGGTTATAGGTAATCTTTTGTGCAAACTCGATCGTTTTAAGATTAACATAATCACTACATATATGTAGAGATAAAATCTAAGACAGCTAGCACTAGTCGGTGAGAATACTTTTTTTTTTTTGAAGAGAGGATCGGATGAGGAAATGAAGAATTGAATGCTAAAGAAGCAAACGGACAAAGTTATTTTTAGCTTCTAGCTAGTGAAGAAGAAGAAGACTTTCTTTCTTTGAATACAAAAACAAAATCTTTTCTTTTTCAGATAAAGCGGTAGGTCCTGAAGAATATCCAGAGTTTCAGCACTTCTCTCTCTCTCTAAAAAAATTGTTCTAAGTCGAGTTTGGGCTCTATAAACGGACGTTTTTGAGCTTCCTTGTTCGACTACTGTATCTCATTGTTGGATATATTGTGAAATGACCTTTTTGCCTTTTCTTGTTCGCGGTTTTACAATTGCAGCATTTTGAACTAAATACGTAGTTGTTGAATAATGAGCTATATGAGTATGGCATCGACCTACCGTAAATACAATTTTTAATAATAAAACACTATGGCATATATCAAGAACATTAAAATAAAATTTTAAAAAAAATGATGATACCCGTAAAACAGAATTTTATGTAAGTAATATCGGCATTTAAAGAAGCGAACATTACTGACAAGATATTAGTGCTCATTTTATGAAGCAGTCAGTTTTTGCGTGTTATTTGTACATCATGTTCTTTTATAATTTATAATTTAACAAAATAACTTTTTTAAATATTATATGTGTAAAAGACAGATATTTTATAAAAGTAAATCTTTTATGTGTAAAAACAAGGTAGGACCATAAAACTAAAAATAAGTTTGTAACAAAACCAATTAGCCCAAATTTTTGGTCATATTCATCCTAATTCATACTATGCAGTGTGTTTGTGTATAGTAACTGTATTGAGATTGGTTATACACACCTGTATTTGTCTTTACTAGTTGTTAAGCTGTTAGTTTGTTAATGTAGCTTGTTATTGATAGTGGAAATTATTAGTTAAGTGGACACAGCTGTTGCTAGCTGTCATGTGTATAAGTAAGAGAATTGGACACTTTGTACAGTTGGAATATTCATTTCAATTTTCCTATTATGTGTTACTGCTCTCTCGAAGCTTCTTCTCTCATTTCCTCTCTTCTAGCTAGGTTTTTTGCTTGTCCACCATTGGATCTCATCTGAGCTCAATTTCACTTCTCTCACTTGTGAATTTGTCATGGTATCATAGCGGAGGTTCTAATCCTTAGCTCAATTTCATTTTTAGTCCAGAAAACTCAAGGTTTGATATTGTTTCGTTTTGAGGTTCGAGGTCAGCCCCAAATTTATGTTTGGTACAGAAATCAGGTGATTAAGAGTTCTCTTCGCGCACATATCGACCAGGATCATGGCAATTGAAGAAAGCACATCATATTCTTCTTATCCGCTATTCGATTCAACCAATCCGCTTTGCATGCATCCATTCTAAAATGCAGGTTTCATGCTTGCACCGGTACCTTTTGATGGATCAGGGCACAGATCATGGAGACGAGACTCAAAGGATCCTACTTTTGATCAATGGGAACGCTGTGATAATACAGTGACCTCGTGGATTTTGAATTCCCTTTCAAAGGACCAGGTAGATAGTTAACAATATGTCAATGATGCTAAGGAGCTTTAGCAGGAGTTGGAGGACATATATGATTAAACTAATGGGGTAAAACTATATCTATTACAGAAAGAAATCAGTGATTTGAGTCAAGGAACACCCGATATTACAGGGTACTATACTAAGATGAAGAAGTTACGGGAAAAACTAAACATCTTGAATGCACATGCTCAGTGCAAGTGCCAGCGTACATGTGGTGCCAAGGCAAATATACAGAAAGCTGAACATGACACAAGGTTAATTCAGTTTCTAATGGGTTTGAACAAGGTATATATGTTGTGAGGGGAAGCATCCTAATGATGAACCACGTTCCTTCCTTGGCACAAGCTTTGTCTATTCTCATTCATGAGGAGAAGAAAAGGGAGATGAAACCAAATAATCAGTTAATGATTGATTCCACTGCTTTGAGTGTGAACAAGCCAAGAAATAATAATTTTAGAACTAGCTATGGCAAACAAGGAAATGGGCCTGGAGGGGATTCCTACACAAACTGCAATCAGTCGAGTAGCACTGGGAACAATGGTTTCAGGGGCACCTACTCCACAAACAGACCTCGACCAGTCTGTGATTACTGCAAGAGACCAGGGCACACCAGGACAGGTGCTATAAACTTCACGGTTATCCACAAGACTCCAAGTTCAATAAAGAAAGAGGAGTGGCTGACAATGTATTTGGAGATTATGGTGATAAACATGTTGGTGTAGAAGATGGGGGGAAAGCCACAGACTCAAGAAGAGGGACGAATGATGCAAAATCTGACCAAAGAACAATACAACCAGCTCATCAGTATCTTAGAAAATTTTCAAGCTGGAAATGCAGAAGACAACTCTGGCATGAGGGCAGGAGCAGTATGTTAGGGATATAGTAGATATGCCCTAGATCCAATATCATATTTGATGTTTGAACATATTTTTATAAAATATATATGGCATTTGATATTCTTTTATCATTATTATTAATTGTTTGATTAATTTGATATGGTCCTTGATTAAAATTTGAGATTTGTCATCGTGATAGAGATCATGATAATGAGAGCAAAGTCTCTTACAATTTAATCTAAATTTGTTCTTGATCGTAGGATTATTAACTTGGACATTAGTGATCCGGTTAGATCAATATTTATGTGATCGTCTTTATGGGATAAAGATTAGTTGATCTCATTAACTAAATTACATAGATAGATGATGCATATAGAGATATGTTCATTGAACCGACTCGTTGGATAATTCATAAT